CATGCTACTGGAGGACTGCAGTGTGAGTTTGGCATCACTTCTGTTCCCCAGCTCTGTCACTACACGATTTTCTAGCTTGTATCCATAGCGGAAAAAGAACTCCGTGTTCATTTTCCAGATTCATATTGATGAAACAGTGCCTGACTTGCCTAACCAGTAAGACTCTGAAACGAAGAGACGCTGACTTGCTTATGTTTTCTTAACCTTTCTAGGTGTTTTGAGCGTGCGGGAGCAGATGGGTACGATGCACAGAGATGGTCACTGTTCTCATAAAGAAATGTGAAATCGAATACGTGTGTGTGCTTGTGCCTAGGTGCTTACTTTCTGAAAGACTTTCAAAATTACCATCTCAGTCCAGGGCTCGTACTGAAGCAGCTGTCTTGGTGCAGATGTGGGAAACTGAAATCTGCCATGAAAACCTTTCTACCTTGAGTATAGCAGCCCCCACAGCTGCCAAAATATGCATCCTCTTGTTTTAAAAATAGAGGGGGGGTGTACTCCCTACATCTGCTGCTGCCCTGCACTGTGCTACAGCTGTGCCAGGGTATTATCTGGAAATGGCCTGCGTAAGACCAGCCATAACACGAGGGGAAAAAATCCCATGTTTGATGTAAGTGCAATTGTGGCTTTATTCCAGTCACTTCTTAATTTATATCTCAAATTCAGTTTATCTTCGTGCCCTGGTGACTAAACAAAAGAGCTGTATGCGCTTGACTGTTTGAAGAAACTGTCTCTGGGTGTGGGGTAAAAAAAAAAAGAAAAAAATATTTAAGGGGGGGGATCCAGAGTACTGAGAGAGCGGCACCATCTCAGTTGTTTTAAATGGAGCATAATCAGCACTTCGAGTGGTTTCGGTACGCATGTATATATCATTGCACTCTTTGAACGAGCTTGATTTTTTTTTTTTACTTTTGCAACAAGCATCCACCGAAGGGAAGAGGGGGCCTCCTTTGGCTACAATTAAGAAAAACACTTAAACACCCCAAATTTGCCTCTGATCTTGAAGAGTTGTGCTGCTTCGAGCTAATATACCTTGTGCGTGGGTTCCATTGATGCTGGTGAATGTTAGATTTGGGACTTGGATTTGCTCTGCCCCATCCCGTTGGGAGGGTTTAAGACTGTGCCCCATCCCATCCTCCCACTGGATATCCCTCATTTTAGCTCAGCTGTAGGTGAAGGAGAGTTTGTGGCTGTAAACCTTTAGTGCTGAGGTCCTGAGGTGCTTTAGCCAAAACATACCTTAAATGTTGCCCCTTTATTAGTCCAATAATAATAGCAATATTCCAGTTCGGTTCCTGGAGCAGGAGTTTTCCTCCCCAAGGTTGAGCACAGCTCCCTGACACGTTGCAAGGAGAATGCTTGTGTGCATCCTCGCTCAGAAAGGCTTGCGTGGAGGTATAAGAAGGAGAACAATTTGTCGTTTGTTCTGTATCTTGAAAGCAACTGGATCACGTACTGAACTGCAGGGAGCTTTCCTCAGCTAGCAACCAGAGGTTGCTTTCTGGGTGGCTTTTCTACTAACATAAAAGGTAGCCCAGGATTTCAGAGAGCTTTTGGGGCGCTTGGGCCAAATTTGAAATTAATCTCGATATTATTTTTTTGTTTTATTTAGAAACCTTCTGTAGACTGTAGGTGCTGCATGTTTCCAATCTGCGTCTGGTATTTGCTTTGAATCTTTGGGTCCGTTGGAATCCAAAGCCAAAAAGGTTCACGCAAAGTGTTGTGACCCAAAACTGTTTGATCTTAGATCTGTGGTCTCAGAGCCCGCAGCCCAACTTGAATACCTGATGACTATCAGCTGAGCAAGCATCGCAGAATCTGACTTCTGCCCATGAACCATAAACATTTTCCCCAGGGAACACGAAAGTAAATTGGCCTTCGTGCAGGAACAGCCAGCTAGACCGGGGCCACGGTTTCCTCGTGCTCAGTACCAGACCCTGCGGTACGCTGCTGCGCAGTTCTTCCTTCTAAGTAAAGCCATATGAAAAGGAAAAAAAAAAATAAATGCACTTTTCTGTGAGTGGCTGAACCAACCAATTTGTTCAAGCTATTCTTCTGGTTGACTCATTTTTAACTGAAAAAACACTGATATATTGAAGGCAACTTGAAAAATGCCAAAAGGGAAGAAGGGGAAACAGAATCGAAACCATTTCAAGCTCTCAAAAAAAAAAACAAACCACCAAAACAAAACAAAAAATTAGCGAGTGGGTGGACCCTCTAAAATGGTGTAAAACTTAATCCCGTGTTAGAGCACGATGAGTTAGAAATGAGTTCATCTAGAAAATAAAGCCCTAAAAGTAAGCTCGACAGTTGTGATTAAGAGGTCACAACATCACCAGCTCACTGTCATGCTTGCAAGGGAAAAAAAAAAAAACTCCTCTGACTTATAGATATCCAGTAAGATAGGCCTTCTTTTCGTTTGGCCAAGGTTTTAACTTGAATGTTGTTCCCAACTACTTCTTTGTATCAACATATCCAAAAAAAAAAAAAAGTCCCCGAGAGCCCCAGCAGCACATGACTTGAAGAAAGAGATGAGCCCAGATTTATGGTTAATATGTCTGTGTATATGTTCTCAGTGGAGAAGGGTGATGTGTAGGAGAAGTGTAAGTGGAAAGATAGCGTAAGCCTGGTGCCACAAGTTCTTGGGTAAAAATTGCTTCACTGGCTTAATGTTTAAAAAGCATCAGCTATCTTTTCACTTCAGTGAGGTTTTGCTGGGCTGTAGGCATTTTAAACTCACCTTATTCTTGATGAACGTCGATTTACCTTATTATGCCCAACAGTAAGGCAGGCGGCAATTTGCCCACGAAGCTGAAGGGACCGGAGGCAGCGTTATAGCCTCCCACGCCTGGGAACGTGGGTCAAGCACCAGATTTGATTTAATTACGAGGAGTAAAAAGATGTTAAGCATGTGTAGTGCCATAGACCTGTTTTCCTGGTATTGATGGATTACGGAGTTCATTGAGCAGCCCGATTTGCAGTGGGTAAATTAGTTCAGACAGGGGTGACTTACTGCACTGTGAACAAGTACGTGGTTTTGGCTCTTAACAATATTTTACATGAACTATAAAGTGATGTTGATTTTTAATATTTCATTTACTCACCCACAGTAGGTGACGTAAGTGGCTGCTACCCGGCAGAACAGCTAAGTCACTTGAGACTGTTTGCTCTGAACTTCTTACCTTGTTTCTGAGTAGCTATTCTTCAGATGCAGCCATCAGTTCTTCCTCATAATGCTTCCAAATAGCAATATATTTCATTCTCTTCCTTTGTCTTTGCGTTACTAAATCTGTTATCTCACTGGAAAGCTTATGGTGTTGTCAGAAATTGCGTATTATGCCCTGGACTAAGGCTGTTTTGCTTGAACGTGACAAGTTGTTTAAAAATAGACTGGTTTATGCTTTGTATTCATTCTTTTCTCCAAAACCGTCTTTCATAACAATGTAAATAAAGAACTCCCAGAACTGATACAGCGGAGCTGGCACGGTTAGAAGAAAAGGCTCAGCTATTACCCAATTGACATTAATGCAACATAAATCTTAATTATATTGAACAGGCATCAAACTGCAAGGTCTTAGGAGATGGAGTCATTAAGTAACAGTTTACAGTGAACGTTTATCTTCAAACAAATTCCCAGGCCTCCCTAATTTCCTTTGTAGTCTCTTAAAGGGGTTGGAAATGAGAGGTGTAATATGGATTCACTTTATGCCCAGCTCTTTTAGCAGTATCCAAAGCTGACCCCCCAGCATAGGTTAGAAATTGCTAAAATAATAATTTCCAATCATGCAGACCACAGACTTAATCACATCTGCACAGGACAAGGTTGCAGATGGTGTTAATGACTCCTGGGTTACTCCTGCGTGCTGTCCTCGCTGTGGGGAGCCGGGAGGTCTCTGTCCTTCTGCTCGCCCACACCTGCATCGCAGGATTGCGGCTCGCTCGCGAGTCTTGCCCAAACTGGGTACTGGGTGTCATGTTCTTCCTTTTAATCCCCACTAAATTTTTTCTCTCCTCAGAGACGTTTCCGTATTCAGTTATTGAATGGCAGCGGGATTCTAGATGTTGTTTCCAAAATACTATTTTTTTTCTTTTGACCAAATTGCTTTCAGATAAAAACAACAAGTAAAACTGATGAGAATGGATTTCTTTTTTTTCTTTTCTTTTTTTCTCTCTCTGTCCACTCTGGTTTATCTCACAGTTGCCACAAGCCTGCCGTACTTGTAATTCCATGTGCTGCACCCATCTTGCAGATTTC